CTGTACGCAGCACCTATCTGTGTCGTAGCGCTGAGGACGGCCGCATACAAGCGATGTGTCATTGCGGTACATTGAAGGAGTTATTTGAGGGTGGTTTGCGTCTTCCGCCCCGGTCTTACGATGCAGCGTGTGTTGTAGCCGGCACGATGCCCATAGAAATCTTGGCGGACAAGCGACGCGGAATTTTTCATAGGGGAAAAGGAAAAGACCACGGCATAACATCTGCCGAGGAGAGAGCTGCGTCAAGAGTACAGTGGCAAAGCTGTTGGCACTCATCCTCAGCTTGGAGATGGACACACTTTCTGATCCCTTTGCTGAATTCGTGGCTGGTTCGACAACACGGTGCGGTTAGCTACTACTTCACGTAGATGTTGACGGGACATGGTAGCTTCAGAGCGCACCAATATCGTTTCAGATTGAACGATAGTTATGCAGGTCCAGTATGTCACGATATGGACGAAGACGTGGAGCACGTTTTCTTCGTTTGCCATCGCTTTGACAGCGAAAGGAGCGTGCTGCAAGGAAGGCTTGGCCGAACTGTCACCTCGGAGAACATCGTTACGCTTATGCTGGACACCGAAGAAGCTTGGAACGCGGTAGATGAGTGTGCGGTAATCGTTCTCAAACGACTACACCTCGGAGAAAGGAATAGGTAGCGCTAATGCCTGACTGCGGTTCCGTGGGATGCATGGGAAATAGAATGTGACAAAGGAGGTGGTTTTTAGTAGGTGAAAATCTTAAAACCCTACAAAGCACGGGCTCGTTGAGTCTTTGGAAGATTTTCCCTCCACCCTCGCAAAACACACACACACGAAAATTTTTAGAAATAATGAACTGTTTGTTAATTTACAATTAAACTTTTACAACGCGTTCATCTGTCACGCGTTACGTTATGCTTTTCATCCGTAATTGCAAGAGTCCAGCGAGCGCGCCCGTGAAGCCACCGTTATAATCCAACGTGACTTCGGTGTACACGTAGTCTTCTCGATGATCATGGAATTTGTCGGCTTCGTCGGGTCCGGAGACCAAGGCTCCATACAAAATTTGAGGATTCGGCGCGTCTTTGTCGAACTCGGACCAACCGCAGGCCGCCGGTCTGTCGGGGCATGACGAGGCCGCGTGATGCGGCTGTTTCGGGGGATTTCGACCCCATCCGATCACGTAACTCCTTCCTAGTTGGAGAAATTGAATGATTTCAGTATTCGAATATTAAGGAGATTAGGGAAAATGTGGAACATTTTCACAGGGTGGTTTCTACATGCCAAACTAACAAGGAAACGCCGGTGACTGATACACGCCAATTTTGAAGCAACTTTGAACAAATGTTCATTAGACCTACCTAAGGATTTACATGTGATTCGTTCAGGCCTGTTTTTTTACTTTAAGGGAGAAATCTACCCTTTTATTAGGAGGATATCCCGAAAAGGTCCACATGTCCTCCCTACCTCATCGTTAAGATCCTTAAATGTCGTAGGAAGGTCCATTTTCCGAATATGTAGAAGTAACATTCTCTGTACTTTTTGGGAATGTTTAAAGAGTTCTTACAAACGCTATGGTAATGCCCTAAAAGGCGTATCAGGAACGTTTTCCAACTTTTAAAAATTACTAAACAGAACTATCCGAAATTTAAATCCTACGAACATTCGTAAGACTTAAGACACAGACATTCCTAGAACATGCGAAATTTAAGTCTTGGGAACATCCGCAGAACATTCGGGATAGACATTTCTAGAACATCCTAGGGATGTTCAAAATAGGCCTAGGACATTCAGATTGAAATTCAACATTAGACGGACGTCTCTTGGATGTGCGGTGCTATCTTGGTAAGTGCCTATAAACCTTAAATCAAAAAATTGTTTAAATAAAAGTTGTACCGTTTGCTGAGACCTATGAAACTTTGCGAAAAATAAAAAAAAAATTATTTTACGGAGAATTTTCGCACAAATTAGTAGGCCACAAGACGCGGTAGGTATAACCTTTATTTTAACAATTTTTTTATATCTTTTGAGGTTTAAGATTTGTAAGTACTTACATAGAAAGGTCGCCTCGGATAAAAGGGTTGTTTTCTCGCCTTAATGCATTGGTACAGAAGTGGGTACAACGTTTTAAAGAACTTGGAAATGTGGATGCCTTGCCGGAGAGAGGATTATCACGCGCGATGTTATCAAACGAAGATGCATTGCTTGTTTGCATTTTTCAACGAACCCTTACCCATCATTAGGTGGGAGTGAACTCACAATGTAACGATGAGAAACTACTTGGGGGTAGAGGAAGCCCTTTCGGAAAAATACTGTCAGTCGGTTAGCAATTGGGCGACAGAGATGTTCAGTTCACGGGAGTATTGTGCAATGTTCTGGTGGTACGCACAGAATAACGGATATACGGCTGCTGCTGTGCAAGCGTTTGGCTACGTAAAACATGTGATAAATTGAAAATAATCGGCCCGTTTCGGGACCACCAATTTTCCTAACGTAGGAACAACACGTTCGATTAAACATACATTAAGTGATCGTGTTGGCTGATCAGTGTTAGTGGTCGTGCAGTGAAGTGAATACGTATTCGGTGGAATAATGCGGACGCACTTGACGTTACAACTCTTAACTTCGGCTGGTTAGATATACCTGCGATCACCTGCGGACTGGGCGATACCCTGCCATAAACCGTTTCAGTCGTCGATGACCACGATCGGTACAGTGATGTTGAAGAGTGAGTTTGATTCAATTTATTGTTGATTATAATTTCTTTAATTTAACGCAAGCTACATATGACTTTTTCCCGGCAATAATTCTGCAAGTTTCCGTACCTACATTTTTCTTCGGGCTTCGTCAAGATTCTGTTTAAAAAAATAATCGTGTATTCGTCTTTTTTACGTTACACATGATTTTCTTACATTTATGTTTCATTCATTCATTACTTTAAATGACAAACGAAAGATGATAAAAAGTTCGATTTGGTGTGTTATTCTTATTTGCTATTATACGCGGTTTCCTGGGATGCATGCCGACTTGCTTGTTCAGAGTTTCAAGCGTAGCGCGTAGCCACCGCTAGCGCGGGAACTTGGCTGGCAAATTCGCGGTCTAATTGGTCGGGGTTTTTCGTTAATATCTCGTTAACAAAGCCGCAGATAACGTTTTCGCTAAGGAAAAAGTGGTTTCAAATCATCCCAGATCTAACCCAGACACATTTTTGAGACATCCTGTATACAACCTATACTAGAATATATAAATACTGCCGTACTCTATCCTGTGAAATAGACTGTAGATGTGACTTAGGATTTATATATTTATAAATATGAATATAGAAAATAAAAAAGTTTTTTTCTTAAAATGAAAATTCAGGCGTTATAGGGTTAATCGTACCATATCTCACTCAAATTATGCAAGAATTTCGATATCAACTAAAAAATCATTTGCTCGAATCCTTCATAATTTCTCGCGACCACTAGTCACGTAGAGAAATTCGAACTTACCGCCACCGCCCAACATATAATAAATTTGTTGCTCGGCAAATTCCCGATATTCCTGGGGATTCCCGATACCGGGCGAGTCAGCCGCTTCCAGGCAAACGAACGCCACGTTTGCGGCGTGGCACAAGGTGCCGAATTTGTCGATATAGAGCAAGCCCTTCGGCGTGCGTTTTTGTTGGCGCACCGAGAAATCGCAAAAAGCACGAGCCGCATTCTGATATTCCGGCTGCCCCGTCAATTGAGCCAATAGTACCTGCAAACAAATTGGAAACTTTATTTCATTCGTGTCACGAACACGTGTCTATTACATTGTCTTTTTTCGTAGACTAGCGTTATCTGTATCAGGTTCGTCCATAAGTTTGTTCGTACATATTTATGGGGAATTTTGAAGCAATGCAAACAAAACACATTTTACTATTTTAGTCAATTATGTATGAGGAGTGTACTGAAAGTAATGCAAAAGTGGGCGTAACTTGTTTATTAAGCGATGTAGGTTATGAATGTATTAAACTGAATAAACTGAAAATTTTCGTTCAAGCTCAGTATAGATCACACCCAATTCTGTTTTTACACGATAGATACGTTTCGAAAGATTGTGTGTAAAACAAATTCGGGTAAAAAGATACTGTTGTCTATGAAAAAACAGATTGGTACCAGACCTAAAAACCAGCAAAAATAATACAATAAATCATATGAAAGTTCATGTTAGAATCTTATCATTTTTCCGTGTCTGTACTTTTTATTTTGTAAAGGTTGCACAGGTATATAATAACGTATTATATAAAGTACATTATCATTTGAAATAAAAAAAAAAGATCTTAGTCGTCGTCTTGTTGCTCCATTGGTGAAATTCTTTCTGTGATCTTTTGAACAATGTTAACTCTAGTTTCCTGTGGTGCCGACGTTCCACTCGTTTTAAGAACAAATACAATTATTAATCCTTGTGTACGTGATTTGATTGTATTTAATGACTTCGTGTTTCCATGATATCGTTAATGATTTCAGATTACGTTGGAACTTCCCAGTTCGTTCCTCTTTCGGATCATGTTGGAGAAAAGGATTACCCAACTTACTGGCTAGTTGATCTTCATTCAAGATCTTTCATCAAAAATTGTTTCTTAGAATATGGGTCGATCGTGTTAAATCCAACCAGATCGTGTAAAAAGAGAATGAAATTTATTCTTATAATTCCAGTTAATTGAAAATCGTGTACAAAAAGTTCATGTAAAAATAGAATTGGGTATATACTTTGCTTCGCCTCTTAACGAAACGTTCGATATAGGAAACGAATCTCCGCACAGTTTTCGTTTGATAAATGTGTCTGCAAAAAGTCTAGATTTACATAAAAGTACGCGAATCTAACCATTACCATTACTGTTTCCATTTCACTTGGATGCAATTACGTTTACCTGAACGCCAGCGACTTTCGTATTGTAGAAAAATTCATTCGGTCTCTCTTTGAGATGGAAATGCTGATAATGATGCTCGGAATCCTCGAGATACATCGTATCGTTGGTCGCCTTGAAAAGCCAGGCAGCCGCCCATGCCAGTTCATCGCCGTAGTCGGTGCTCTCGTAATATTGAGCGGCCCCGCGAATCGCCTCGTGATAAAGTCCTCGATATCTGGTCGCGAATCTGTACAATTCCTTCGCGTGTTTTAAACATCGGGCACTGTATTCGGGTTCGTGGTCACGGAACACAATACTCGAAGCTGCGAGCGCGGCTGCTGTTTCTCCTGCCAAATCGGACCCTAAAACATGTGACAGGGACATCGTTAAACTTAGATTATCACAATAATAAAAAATACAGTTACACAGACAAGTATCTGCCAAAGATGACGGAATTCATTATCTAGGTAAAAAGTTCCTTCTAATATGAAACACACTCGTTAGGGTGGTTTTTATATGGCTGAATAAATTTCTTTTCGAAATTTCATTGTGAGCACCCTCTGAATATGTTCTGGGTAATATTTACAATAAGGCAGCCATCTCTGATTTCGATGATTTTTCAATATGTTGTCAAGGTCATCACTCTGAGTAGTGTTGTGAAGGTTTTAGTTGGGGGTCGTTGTTCTTGAAAAACTTATTAACAAAAACATTTCTTCGAAACAGTTTAGTTAGTTTTATTTATTCATTTAAGTACATTTGCTGTTACTGGATATACATATGTATGCCACTATTTTGAGAAAAATAACTTTCATCATAATTTGTTCAGTGAGTTAAACTAAACACAGGAAAGTGTGTCTGGAGTGGTCAGTACAAAATAATGATTCGGTATTTGTGGTTGAACAGACACAATAAGAGGTTAATTAGTGGCATAAAATATCCTCCATGGAGGAAAAAAGCCTTCGTGAAGTTTGTGGTATGTACAGTAGAGTTCTTACAGTGACATTGACGCCAGATACAGTGGAGCAGAAGCCAGCCAATTTTGAAGGGCAGCTCAGCTGTCTCATTTTATGCATGCTCACACCCACACGCAAGATTCACTTCCGCTACCGCTATAAGATCACGCTAGTAATCCGTGTTCGTTCCGTATACGCCAAATACGCACTGCCTCGACACACGCGCGCAACCTCAAAGTCTCTGGAGGCTCTGGAGCTTGTTCGAGTTAGTGGAATCAAAAGATGGCGCTCTGGTACCTGGGTAGCCACCGAGAGTGAAAACCAGTTTTTATAGGTTATTCGCAATGCGCGGCGTCGGCACGATTCACACAAACATAATTAAAGCAACTATCTCTAACCAACTCTGAATTACTTTTTTTCTTGAATTGTCTCTAACCAACTCCGGTTAGTATAATGCTTCAGAGTTGGTTAGACACAGTTATTTTATGCTTCCATGCATACTTACTTCGGAATAGAGGTTAGAGACAAGTCAAGGAGAAAAGTCATTCAAAGTTGGTTAGAGATAATTCAAGAAAAAAAAGTCACCCAAAATTGGTTAGAAACTGTTCAAGAAAAACAAACCATTCAGAATTGGTTAAAGACAGTTCAAGAGAAAGGTATCATTGTTCTCTTAATAATTTTTTAATAAACAACATTTGGTAACTGAAACTTTCTGAACATCAGTCTAAATAGAGGGTGATCTTGACAACAAGATTGCGACACCGCCTATAACAGCAGACCGCATATTACATCCGACTTGCTCTCTAAGTTCGGTTCCCATACACATTACTTTATATATATTTTGATTCTGCTTATAACAACATTCGTTTACAGCAACGTAATTTCTCTGTACCTTGAATGTCGCTATAAACAAACTCCACTGTACTACTAAAGTATGATACTAAACTTTTTTTGATCACTTTTTACAAACGGCGATCCTCAACTAAAACTTTCACAGTACTACTCAGGGTGACGACTTTGACAACATATTAAAAAAATTATTGAAATCGTAGGTAGCTTCCTTATTGTAAATATTCACCTTGTTCATTAAACATTGTCCAGTAATTAAGACCATCCTCATGTCCTTTAGAATATGAAAACTTTGGTACCTCATAGCGTCCTCTAAACTTTAATCAAATTAGAAGCAAAATTACATACACTCATTTTTCAAATGAAACAACTAAATAACAGGGTGCGCCGATATAATTTTAAGACTTCAATTTTACGAACCACCCTAACACACATACAACAAATGCCATCGGTTAAGTATTTTACTATCATACCAGGATGTTCGGGATCGATCTTGTACGCAGGCCTAGTAGTGTTCAGTTCTTCCGGTCTCCCCCAGAAGGTATGATCGAGAGAGAAATCACCAACCTGCCCGTAAAACACGTATTCGCTCACGTGACACTTGATAAAATAGTCCGTGGCCCATTTCACGGCATCGCGAAGTTTCTCGAGTTGTCCTGCCGCGTCGTATGCCTCTGGCCAACTAACCGCGCCCCAAGCTAAAAGCGTCGTCGTCGAAGCCATTGTAAACCCGAACTTTACAAAGTCACCAGCTGAAAGTCGCAGAACATTAGAGTTTTATGTTATTTTCCATAAATGGCCTGCGGATTTTATACATTTCTAGAATATCCAATCGTCTAATAAGGGAACGTTTTATACTGTTAACGGAAAATGAAAAATCTTGTGTGTGTTTTGCAGTCCACCTAGCCCTTATTAACACTTTCCTGCCGAGAGGGTCTTTGTGTTTCCAAATATACAACTTCAGGCGTTCTAAAAATATTTAGGAACCACTACTTAATTTTTATTTGTCAAACATGACATATAGGAAAAGCGATATTTCCCTATTTTTTTTAATATTCTAGTTTTCATGTAAGAAAGACATACTACTACGTCAATCGTTCTCAATGTTTGTTTTAAAAAAAAACGTATTACTACATCATCTGACATCAAAGTACTAAAAGTGAAGAGCTGTAGGTATTCTCGTTTTTCGAGGTAGCCAAGACAGAGGATATAAAAATTAGTAAAACCAGCGATATTGTGTCAAATGACGAGTTAGGATAAAACAAAAATGACTGCTTCTATTTGATTTTTTATTACAAGTACTTATCCTTTCAAAATCGATTCCTTCTGATAAAAAACTGTGTTTTGGGAATATTGTTACGACTTTGTATACATAAGGGCTAAGTGGATTACTAAACGAACACAAGTTTTTTCGTTTTCCGGTGTAACAATACAAAACGTTCCACTGTAAAATTCAATGTAGTAAAAAACTTCAGAAAGTTTATTCATGGCTCCATTCAAAAACATCAGGAATGTTATTTAGAAGTACATACATTTCTTTTCTTTGCGTCGCGTTTCGAAAAATTAATCCATAAAATTCTACATTTGTATAAATATCCGTAGTCTAATTAGATCTGATTCGTTGTCACTATCTGTTGCATTGAATTGATTGGTTTTTATACTTTACAACATCGAAAATATGTTACTACATATACTAGAAAAGCGTTGAATGTATATTAAATTGAATTGCATAATATATTGATATGTGTAACGTATAATACTGTGGGGTCGCTGCTTCGTGGATTCGAGGAACTCTAGGAGTGCGTTTTTGTTATCGGTGCGAATGAGTGTGTGCGTGAGGAGATCGGTTTTCGGGGATTGAGATGCGGGGTAAGGGACTGTGAATCGAGAGAGCGAGGAGTGTCGTGTGAGAAGTCGTGTGCGAGCGAGCAAGTGTATTGTGTGTGACTTTGTTTTTTTTCCTTTCCTTTCATTATTAAATATTCTTGTTTTAAAAAATATCTCTATTTACTCAAAATCCCTACAATACTATATATATGTAATGTAATGCAATATAATGTAAAATGTATAATAAATTAAGAGTCAATATACAGTCCACAAAAAGTACCTTCATGATTTCAATAAGTATAGAACAAGAAACTTGGAATTCGTCATTTTAACGGGTTTGGAAGCTCTAGTGTTATTGAAATTTCGTTGTACCGAAAATCTTTATACATTATTTATATTTTTGGACATGGTCCTATACTTTGCAATGTCATTGTATTTACTCGAAAGTCATATTCTACTATCTCACATCCTGTCTCATATGTAATATCGATTCGGACTCGTGGTGATGATTTCGAAATGGATTGAATAAACATGAATATTTTTCAATTTTGTAAGGTCAACAAAATATTATCTCGATGGTATTAATGTTTGATATTTAGAGAAAATATACAGTTAGAATGAACGTGGAACTTATATTGATTTTGCAAATTATTAACTGCGGATGTTTATGGAAATGATAATTTTGGGGTATTGATATATGTATAAAAAACAAAATTGAATAGTTTTGTTTTCTGTAGATATGTACAATACTAGGGGTTTACACACGTTAATGGTGATACGTAAATACTATTAACTACTATTTTAATATAATCTTTATTTTGCTACGTTTTGTAAGTCTGGGGCCGTTATAAATACCTAAACATCCTTAGTCTAATGATTAAGAATAAAGTAAGTCTAGTGAGCGTAGTCATAAAAATCGTACTGCAAGGGGTTAACTCTTTTCATTCATAAATTTTATGGTCGTACTAAGACACACAAATGAATTTTTTCCCTCAATATCGGCTACAATATAGAATCTCCAACTATCTACTAATAACCATTTAATTTCAATTCAAATGCAATTACTGCATATAAGCGAAATTCAATTTTATATTTTATTTTGTAATTACCGTCATAATAGCCACCAGTCAGATCTTCGCCATTTAAACCGTGATCATCCAGTGCCGAATCCCCTCTCCATTGAATCCGATTGTTCTTTGGCAGTTTTCCCGACCGTTGTGCTTCGTAGAATAAAAGCGAAAGCTCCAAAACCTGGGCGTAGTCGTTCTCTTCTTCGATAGGTTTTACGTAGTACGTTGGGTTTGCATTTATAACGTCGACCAAGGCAGTCGATGTTATAATCACAGTCTGTAATAGTTTCATATATACTTAAGAATATCGATTTTATCATTCAGTCGCAAATGTTTATACAGAAAGTCATTTTTAAAAGTAATATATATACATATACAAGAGCAAGTTTAAAAATAAAGATTTCTTCCTTTGAAGATTTTATTGGGTTCTGAATAAAATGCGAAAGTTCATAAAATCTCATTCAGATTCTGTTATGTACTAAATTTCATAGATTCGTGTATACCGTAAATGTCTATGTTAATTTTTTCATTCATAAATATAACGTCAAATCCTCCTTCAATAACATCGTCCATTGCTTGTGTAACAACCTAATACAAGGTGATCCACCTAAAGGTGCCATATAAATATCTCCTTTAGTTGTGATTATATAAAAAATATGTTAAATACAACTTAAATGGTGTCAAAGGACGAATACGCTGCAAAGAATATTTTCGTGTCAAGGATTAATTCAAAGAATAATTTGTCTCTTTTTCGGAGATTTCGTAGTCAACAATGAATTTTTAAGAAAAGGTAAGTTTTTTCAAGTAATAAGTGCTAAAAAATGCGATTTCTTAAAACAATACAATTATAAATGTAGGTTCATGCTATGAAGAAGATGTTAAAGTATACGTACATGCAATGCCGAGTCAGGTGGTTGAATATTTTTTAAGTTACATTCCCCGGCACTTATACATATATATTATTATATAAGACTAATTTCGGATACGAAAAATGGCGTATGAAACTTATTTTAATTTTTTTTAAACATTCTGTTCACATTTGCAGTATTAATTTACTATTGTCTAAATATTCAACTCATATTTTTAAAATATTTCTTTTATGTTCTATGAATATTTAGTTTATATTTTTTAAACATTTATTTTATATTTCCTGTATATGTATACAATATGTGGATTCAATATTTATTTCATATTGAAATGTGTGGCTCAGAAAATATTGTTTCAATATTTCAAAAACATTTTTAACTAATATTTTTGTGCTACTAGGGTAACCACTGGGCAAAATGTAGGGGAAAACCATAGAAAAATGTTGAAACGATTACCACTCTGCATCGCCATTTTGAAAACAAATATATATTTCATACCATTTTTTTTAAACCTTATGATAGTAGTAAACATTGGGTAAAAGAATACATCCGGCGTTGCTTTCATTTTTTTACAAAGAAATGAAGAAGAAAGGTTTCTTCTCACGAAAAATGATTCCTTAGTCTCCTTAGTGAATTACAAAAAACAGATGTGCCTCATTCTTGACACAGACGGCGCGCCTAGGCTTGACAATGAAACTGGATGACTTCGATAAATCCGCGGGGCATGTAACGTAAAATCTACGTGATGGACTTTAGAAAAGGCCATCTAACATGCGGGAGTTAAAGTTTCGTTATGACCTTAAGAACTGGATAGAGAAACCTCTCGATACGAAGCCACTCGTCGTTTCGTTTCAATCGCGAGAGTATCTTCAACTTTTACCTATTGGAAAAGTTCCCGATAGAAATCGCACACTACTCCAAGTATTGGAGGAACGAAAGTAATATGGCGTATTGAAGAATTCCCATGCCGCCTGCACTTGCGTGCGAATATGATGTTAATACTTATTGTTAATAACGAACACATTCGGTATACGTTTTCAAAAGATCCTACAATCGAAGAACAACATCCGTTATAAGAACTTACATCCTATTTTCGAAGAAAATAAATAGCAGTTATTTCTTTAATGATTTCATCATTTTCATACCATCATTTATAATTGAACTTAACCCATTAGGTCCCATCGTAGCGTTAATGCAACATTTTATTCGCAATATATTTTTCAGGGAAGTCACAATATATTAAGATCTTCGAATAATTGCTTACAAGGGGAACTTACGGGTCGGCTAATCGCTTTTGGAATGACACTATATGTATACAAGTTGTAGTACACATACAGTGTTACAAAACCCTCATTGTTTTCCGTAGAATGGGCCTTCTTATGCCAGGCAGTTAGCCAGTTGCCCTGGGGGAAGGGGATGAACAGAGGCATTTACTGTGCCAGACCCGCAAGGGTCGAAATAGCGGGTACATGGTTGGGAAGTACACCGAACGATGGATAGGTCCAGGAAGAACTCTCCACGTACGGGCCGCAACGCCGTAGCATGCAACGCTCTGTACGTAGCAGACGCGGTAGTTTGAGGAGCGTAGTGGGGGTACCGCCGGAGTGGGGCACCCAGATTTAGCAAGATTATTTATGAATTTGGCTTAGATATCCATCTTTTAATGCAATCGGAGGAAATGGCCGAATTTAAATTAGATTAATTCTCGACCTTATATAACTATAGTATTTAACATTGTAATTGATTTTGTTGGTCTGTTGGATAGCACCTTGAAACGAGCAGAGTACACTGTGTAATTTCGCAATAAAAGAGTCGAATATATTTATCAGTAAAATCGCCCATTTCATGTGCAATTGTTAAGGATACTGGGATCGTGGAACACGTTAAGGCAGTAATTAACTGTACGCAGCTTGTGGTTTACACACACAAACACTGGTTTTATTATAGAGAATAATACCTTAGTAATACAAGCATGTGATAGAAGATCGCGTGCTTGTATTACTGATCTAACAGCAATCACTTAATAAATTTAGAAATTAAAAACTTGAGTTTTTAAGAGAATAAAACGCTGAAAGCACTAAATGAAACATGCTAAAGTTGTTCTCCAATATCGATAATAAACGGAATTCTGTGTTCGCCAACGATACGAAAGGGGTACGTGAAATGAGTTTGGAATTGTGTTTGGAAACTCTTCGTCGGCCAAGCGTGTATGTCTTTTCCAGGAAATTCTCAAGGTTCGTCGACCACGTAATATCTGTATGACAAACGTCAATACCTTCTGCAAATACCGAGCTTATTGTGAACTTGTGACCACGCGTTTTTACCACAGTGACGACAAATTCTCTCCACACATGCTCTTCGCGTGCTTCGTGACTGTTTGGACTTTAACACTAGGTTTACGGGAGGCGTCATTTCGACGCATTTCGAATGCCTTCTAATGTCGAAATTCTCCATGTGATATACCTATATCTATGGATACGCATCAAGTGGATGCGATCGTAAATTGAGTATTAAAAGAAATAAGTTGTTTTTTAAAGAAAATCTGCAGTTTCGATGACACGTGTCCGTAGATAGGTACACAAGGAATGTCTGTAAACCTAGTGTTAATGCTCGTGATGTTGTATCGATTTCGTTCGGTATTCGCCACACATATTTTCAGTGTTTGGATTCGTCAATCATATCGGTGACGTGCGGAAAAAGACTGATAGGATGAAAGACCCAATTACTGACATAGATATTATTGCATACTTTTTTTATTAATTGACCAAATACATAAGTTTTTATTTATATTTATTATTATTTAATATGTGTAATTGAAGAAAAATTTGTTGTAACTTTCTGAACCTCTACTTTTGTTTATAAATTTATTAGTTTCAAAAATATATCTCGAAAGCTATTACTGTCACCCGTAAAACGTGTTCGTTGGAATTACTGACATCCCAGTTACTACCACCTAACTAAATACTGTCACCTCATATACCTAAATACTGTTACTCTTTTGTACTCTTGCCTGCAAAATAATATAAAACTGTTCAGTATTACATTCTATTAATAAATATATTATTTTATTTTGTAATTTTATACACGGTTCTTACAACAAGTGTATATGGGTATGAATATCTATGTATGTAAGACTTAAGAGATTTTGCGACTATTAAAGTGGAGTTTTATAATCTTGATAGATTTTTTGTACATTAGTGTTAATATAGGTTGTTCGATTCGTTACTTAATGTCTCTTGTGAGAAAAATTTACATTTGTCAATATAGGACCGTTCGAAGGTCAGTCTAAGCAGACAATAAGAATGCAGACTTGCGTGATGGTAATACACGTCTGCCCATAAGACTTGGGACCGGAAGTCGATGTCCCGGCCGTTACGTCCGGCCACACAAAGGAGTTTACTGGTCGTCAATGACAGGGATTCGCGACGATCAAACACGGAGCAATGTGATCTTTTGACAAACCACTATCGTGTCAGAAATCAAATTCTATTATGTATCACTAGACCGTGAATGTTTATGCAAATTCACGATATTTGGGCAATAATATTCAGAGATCAAAATTGGATTGCGTGTCATTTCCTGGGCTATAGATTTTAAAATGTCAGTAATACTGTATGAAGACTATTCAAATGTATTGAAATTTGTCTTGTACTATGAGTTGCAAATTAGGGGATATTGTTATAAATGCATACAACAGTTTATTTACTGTTAATTTCAGTTAACTCGCCATGGTTTATGATCAACAATTCATTGAAATACTGTGATATTAAGTGACGGAATAAGAAAACGGTAAACTGTCCAATTAATTAATTAAATCATGTATCAAGGGAAACAGTTTTCATTTGTACATTTTCAGATGTTAATGATTTAAACAAAAATATAACTGATCTGATGTATCTTGTCCTTCAGTATACAATATTACAATATAATTTATACATATGTTAAATAATTAATGCCTCTATTAGAATTGAATGTCAATTTTCAAATAAATAAATAAAAGACAAATGTTCTTTACAGGATGAAAAGTCTATCTATTAGAAACATTTACACAGAAGTAAGAGAAATAGTTTATTTGCATAAGACTTTGTTTCAATGTTGGTCATTATCCATGTTAGGCTACTAAAAACTACATTAAAAAATACACGGGCTACCTATCAATTGATAATTCTATACAATAAAAATCAATTTTTCAAGTTTATACGAAGTAGATCGACTAAATTAATTATTACTCCAGTTTGGTTTGTCATAACAGTGTATTTATTTTATGTAGTTCCCTGAGATTATTCTATAAACAGCTAAAGGCATAGAAAAGTGGATTACTTTGGATAAGAACGCAAATTGTTTTTTATACACGACAGTTCAGAGAAGTTTCAGAGGTTATTGAAACTTTTCTTCATAAAAGACTGTCACCTTGATTTACCTTTCTATATATTTTGTGCATCGTATATCATCTGTTGAGTGTGTTCGGTGTCCCCAAATGAAATATCGACAGAAATTGATCTTTAGTTTGATGCCAAGTCAATAAAAGAAAAAGGAGAAAACATCAGGTACTTCGATATGCGAGATCACGTGCAGCGGCTCATATACAGGGTATACTATAATACATAAAGCGTTACGAACCGTTTTCTCCGTAACCATTGTAGATATGGACATGAACTTTTTTAAATTGACTGCCTCAGGAGGACGATAATCATTTAAGATGTAAAACACTAGAGCGAAGTCTCCTAGGGGGAAAAAACCCCCTCCCCCTCTGTTTTTTGTCATTACTTTTTCGTTGTTCGGATAAATATAATCGAATTTAATAATATTTATTTGCAACAATTTTCTTTATTCTGTGTCTATTTATTTCCAAACATTTATTTATTCTTTTTACAATATTATACTGGACATCTGATAACATTTTTGGCGCTATCGATTTACAAGGGTTCTGTATTCTCCTCTTCATGTTCTCTATTGATGTAGATGGTAATGGTAAAAAAACCAACTATGATTATTGTAGGTTACATCGAAAAAAGATATGAAAAGAAGAATACAAAGCACTTGTAAATCAATAACACAAAAAATTGTATCACATGTCCAAAATAATATTGTAAAAAGGAATAAATAAATCTTTGGAAATGAATAGACACCATTTTGAGCATTTAATCGAATGAATTTGAATCTTATACATTTATTGTAATATCTTTCGACGCCTCCTCGCAGTTCCTCTTGAGAAAAGCTATTCTTCGCTGTAACTCTTTAAATATGCAGAATAAAACAGATGTTTCAAATGAGATGTTAGATTTGATAACGTCTATCTGAATAACAACAAATTAATGGGCTCACCATTTTAAAAAATGGGGGGACCCTTTCCTGCCTAGGAGACTTCCTCGCTCAATTATTTTACATCCTAAATAATTAGCACACCCCCACCCCCTGACCCTCAATCGTTCAATTCGCAAAAGATTCACGACGTTATCTGCAATGGTTTCGGAGAAAACAGCTTGTAATGCTTTATGCGGTACACCCTGTACATAAGTTGCATCACACGAGAAGTATCAATAACTTATTATCATAACTTATTGCAATAAGTATTCAACAATGCGATGTCTCGTGCTTGCTTCATAATTACACGTAGGTTCTCGTGGTGTTGGAAACGTGTGATGTAATATTACACGGAGAAATTAAGATCAATATACATTTACCAATCCCTGACAATTTGGCAATCCAAGCATTTCATTTCACCGAAAACGAATAAATCAATGAACACTCACATTAATAAATTTATGTTAAGGCTATAATAAAGCTGTTATTTGATCGAAGTGAAAATGTTTCGCTTTTTAGAGGTTTATATTTTTACTTAGATCCAAGAGGCCAAACAATGCGAGAAACTGTATGCAACATTAGACTCTATTGTCCCGCTCTAGAGTCCCGCTTTTTTAATTCTTGTCCCGCATTCGAACTGGAGATTTCCTGCAAATCAGTATTTTCAAGTTGTCTATCTTATCCATGACCTACGAGCGGCTGTTTGTGAATACGAAAAAGACAACACTGGAGTTGTTCATATACATATCTGGACACCAGATCCACAGTGTATTAAGTCCACTTTTTTTAGAAAATGACATTTTATATGTTACCTATATAAAATTTTTCATTTAGTTTTTAACATAATAGTGTACAAATGATATTAAGTACCATATCTTGTTTCGACCCAAACAGTGCAAAGTCCATCATTTAGGTGACTGAATGCAATGTTCACTCTACGTATCGAGACTTGTCTCAAGTTCATTCAACAGTTTGAAGGTACCGATTGTTTTTCATTGAATTCTTACCAAACTGTTCCAAAGTTAAAGACTATTGCATCTTTGATTTGTTCTCTTCTAAAGTTTGGTAAGTGTGATTTAGTACACTCTGGCTCTGGCGTCCAGATATGCGTTTCAAATCGTTAGCTTATGTTTTCAACACGAATGACTTTGATGACTAATACTGCATTACTTACCGCATTACTATTATTACGTTTAACGTTAGAGCGTTTAACCTCAAAGCGGCCCATCCGCAAATGGTTAAACAGCCGACTGCGTAATGAGATGAGCACTTACCGTGACACAGGTGAACACGTTCAGCTCCATCCTCGCGATGTTCCTCCACAACGATGTATGTGGTAGGGGATACGAAAAGTTGTTAATCACCTTTTCGTTATGTTTGTCAGAATCAGCCTGTGGCACGTCTCGAGACGCATATCCATCATTTAGTCGCGCCTCTTCATTTAATACTTCACCGTATCCCGAATCCTTTTCTTTTGTTCATCCACTTTCTTTGCGCTGTGACTTAACGTTTCTCGGCAAGTCGAGACGTAGCGAAATTGTTTTCGTATTATGGTGGTCATAAGCCCATCTTCTTTATCGTTGTTAAGCGCGAATCGATGTCAGTTCACAAGTGTTCTGATTGTAGGTACTCCACTGGATCTATAATATTTAGAGCCACAAATTAGTGTTGTTGCAGTAAGTTCGGAGTTTGGGTTCCGAAAAATGTTACCATTTTTTATTAGTATAAAGAAATTTATGTAGAGTATGAACTGTAGAATAGGAAATTGTTTTTCATTTGTTTTATGAACAATTGCAAATAACTTCCATCCTTTCTTTTCAGTTGCATTCTTTTATAAAATAATATATAATTAATATTATTATTTATTACTAAACTGCAGATTTTATTCATTTATAACTTATATGGGTCTGGAAAATACAATAAAGGACAGAACTTTCATCAGGTTCAACGAGTTCCCTATTTTATTCTGAACCCAATATGGTACTTAAGAGAAGAAATAAATTCGTACATTTGCTCTTCTTTTTATGAATTACTTTATAAAATACCATTTTGCATAAAAATCCGCAGTCTATTCATTACTATTAACTGTACAAATTAGTTCGTGGGATCCCTCTTATAGATTTGTTGTTTATTTACAGAAAACTAAAATATAGTCTGTCTCGAAAACAATCCCTTAACAAAATACGTGTCCCTTATTTTTGCTTGCTTAACAAACGTACGAAGTTTCGTTGCAATCGGCGTCTCCGGGTTGGGAAACCTTCCTTGTTAGTAAAAATTATATACACGATGCAACATTCAGAATGTTCACGAATTTCTGTATTTTTTTTTATTACAAATTCTTCTTCCAGAATATTTTAATCCCTTCAGACCTAACTTTTTGCTTATTATACAAAATTAAAGATGTGCTAAGGTAGATGCACCAATTACTGCCACCTTAAAATTGTAGCGTAAGTTCATTTAATCATTTTACCAGTTGTTTAACCTAATTATCGTCTCAGTTTGGAACATAATATTATTTAATATCTCTTTCATTTAAAAACAAATAGTTTTATACATTCGATATGAAGAATTAATTGATAATTAATTACAATCTGCGAACAATCGCAGTGTCTCTATAACTGTCACCTCAAAATTTAAAGTCATTCTTATACAGGGTGGGACAATAACTATGTTCACTTTGAATATTGCCGTTATTCGTAATAATATGAAAAAATGTTATATGCAAAACTTACACGGTATAGAGAAGGGCATATTGTGACATAAATATTTTCTGCGTGGATGAAGGCATAGAGGAGATTTCAAGGTCATCTCGATTTTTTTAAATAGAATGCTATGTTTTTTTATCGCGATGTGATAGCCGGTGTTGAGACGACTTCAGCGAGCTATCATTGAAGGTCATGCAAGGTCAAATGTGGTAGTAAAATAAACTTTCTTACATTACAAGAGATGCTCGAAGTGGTGACCGTTTGCGTCAATGCAAATTTGCAATCTTCGTATCGTCGCATCACGTGCATGTCTTACCGTCTCTGAACTTTTTATAAGTGCAAATTTCGAATATTTTCGAAGTGAACACTTGCATTATTACTATATCAGAATTCGCGGTTGTTTTTAACAATGGAATAACAATCACGCTTGTACGGCACTGAAATTGGCATTAATTTCGCGATAAGGAAGACGAACGTGCCGAAGAATACGAATTGTTCCCGGTGTACGTTATTTGCATTCCATGAGAGATTTCTCGGTAAAACGATTGCGCTGGTATCCAGGAAGTCGAATGCGCAGGAAGTTTGGAAAGTGGACGGTCACTGTCGACGCTACATATTTTGTCTGCGCTCTTCTCGGCCAGAAGAGTCGTTAAATAACATCGACGAAAATATTTTGATTTTTGAAAAACTAAAAAATTATTAATGTACTAGTTTGTACTACATAGTTTTGTATCGCGTTTACCGCTGAGAGTTTTCTAAAATTCGAAAGCATTTTCGAAAAAAGTAGAAAAAATCAATTTCGAAGTTAGTCCTCCATTTTTGAAAAAACTCATTTCTCTCGTTTGTACTGCATTGTACCGTTCGAAAAAATTGTTTAACAACATCGGTTTTAAAAAAATCGTGAAATAAAAATATTACGAGCATCTATCTGAAAAAGAACCGTTGTACTAGTTTGTACTAGTTGAGTATTTTCTACAATTCGAAACCGTTTTCGAAATAAACAGTATTAAAAATTTCTTCTCTGTACTATCTTGTAGCAGATTGTAGCAGGCTGTACCAACGTGGCATCGCCCGGGAAATCTTTGAAATCCCCTGGTTTTATTAAAAAAAAGTAAAAAAATTGGGAAAAAGAATTAAGAAGACGAAATAGAAATTTGTGGGTATTGTTGGGTGTATTAGTTTCAAGGAAAAGTAAAATGTTTTAATTACATTATAATCATTACTTGCATATTAAACAAAATGTTCATTTAAAATCTAGCGATTTTGCTGCTTTAGGAAAGCCGTGTAATGACCAATGGATGTTATGTGTAACCCCCCGTGGTAAGCGACAACACCCGCCAACCTGTAATTGTCCGCTTCTATTTGTAGTGTTAGAGGAAATTCATGCAATGATCTTTTTCTATGATCCTCGAAACTTATTTCTATAAAAATAAATAATCCGTAGGAATATTTTATATGTATATGCTTGTCGCAACACCGTTCCTGGAATTTTGGATCATTGATGATTAAATTTTGTAAATCCTTCAACCCGCATGTTTGCATCATGTTGTGATTAATTGGGAGTCACACAGACTTTCGATCGGTTGTTGATACGCATATATCACAGCGCAATGTTTTAATCACAACTTGGAACATCATTGAACATTTTCTCGCACAAATGCACAACATTAGATGCAGCATCGAACATGTGTATCTCATCTGCCACTGCTGATTGGCAAAAATGATCTATACTTTTTAATAGTAATGCTTGCGTTTTATATAAACTGTGAGACGGGCCTTTCCCTAAAAGGCTAAAAGGTCTCTTAAAAATTGAAAACATTGGTCTTCGCTATTTTGCATTTTCTTTCTTATATTATCATTATACCATGAGTGTGCTAATATTGGTATTATGCCATCAAAACCATATGTATTTTTTACTACGGTTTTTTTATTTGTCATTCCTGGAACTCGGGCTCTCAAGCCGATGACGTCCGATTCTTGTCAAGCCGTCCAGAAGTCAGGCTGCTCGCCCGTGTTCAAGCCCAAATTGAGTCTCGGGAGTATTGGGATACAAAAAATACAATACAAATAGTATTAAATTATACATAAAGTATTAAGTAAAATTATATTGTAATACAATTAAGTTGTTTAATTTTTACATTCTACTTAACTAATAATCCTGCAACATCAATTGAAGGGTCGGATGCAATTAAGAGATGGTTTTTAAACTGGAGCTTAAGAATGTGAAAATATTTTTCTCTTGATGTTAATCAATCTCAAATTTCTTTTATTTTTAAGAATTATGTTTATATTCTTCTATTCTTAGTTTTACTGTTAAATAAACAATAAATAATTATTGACAAATGTGTAACTTTATTTTGTGCAAACCTCGTACGTGGTATAAAATACGTACCGGTGCCTGATGGGGAGTGTTGTGAGTAAAAGTCAGGGGACCTGACCCCCCAGAAAAAAATTCTAGTTACACCAATGCATGGCATAAATATACTGCGGTTTTAGCATTTGATTAATACATTCGAAATATCTTCTTAAATTGGATCGCGTGGAACAACGGACGAGTCACGATTATCAACCAGGTGCTTATAATCTTCTGAGAGAATTATATCTAAGAGTTGATCTACAGTACCTATTCATTTTGAAGATCCGTATAATATTCTCTGTTCCTGTCCAACAAATTTTAACTTTTTTTTTATTTTCGTAATCTCCAATAGGCGGGCTTCATGTAAGGTGACACTGAGCGATAGTGCATTTATATATGAGCAGCCATATTGTAATTTCCTAGTTACATTGGTAATCTATGGAGAAAGACATTCCCATTTGCTTAATAATGGTACAACTGGTATGTGATTTCAAAATTACACTGGCAATAGGGGGTTAAAAGTGATATTTCTTATCTCGTTTCACCTCAAACATCACAATTTCATGTCATTTCTGTCATTATTAGTGAATAATTGTTATTTGACTCGTTTAATTTCTTCGGTCGAGTATTATTTGCTATCGGCAGTGGGGAGCGGAATTGAAGCAGGAAACGACGGAAGAGCAGGAAGCGAAATATCCTTGGGAAATTCACAAGTACATTAACCGAAGAGATCGATCCGATGGAGACTAATAATCGGTTTCGAAACTCTCGTTACGACAGCTTTTAGCTGTGATTATGGGTAGCGTTTCATCCGTCAGGAAAGTGTCAATCTTACTGGACATGCTCTCGTGACTTCCACTAAATAACCAAGAATGGTGCATTATCGAGGCTATATTATACAGGGTATTAATAAAAATGTGGAACTTTTTTATACAAATTTTTTACTAATTTATGTAATTTTTTTATGAAAGTCAAGAATGACGAAATTGCCTTCGAGGCTTTGTTTTCGAATTATTAGTTGCTGAAAATACAGGCATAATGTACGTAAAATACGTCTGACGCGATGGATTATTCTACTTGTGAGGCGTGTTCTTCGTTGTTTGATGAGTTGGTTTCACTCATTTCATTTTTTTTTCATTCATTCGATTTAACTAAAAATAAATACGTCTAGCTGAATTAGACATAAGTCATAAAAATTACTATAATAAGTGTTTTATCGTTTAATACGATCGTAATTAAATTA